TCCCCCGTCCCTAGTCTGCTCTCTCTGTCTCCCTCTCTCTTTTTATATATTGATTGATTGATTGATTTATGTGTTCATTTATTCATTAATTGTTTTATTTCCGATCTGACAGTAAAGTGAAAATAACTATTATATGGGTCATAATCAAAAAAGGTTGAGAAAGACTGTTCTAGGGTACTAATTATATTATGCATTTGTGAGTGTCCTAGTTAAGAAAGATGCCATACTTTTGAATTTCTTTATATAATATATTCTTTTTTATGTTGTGGATGTAGCTTATTTCTGTGACTTTCAGCACATCAATGACATTTCATTACGGATAGACTTAGAAGCCACTCTCAAGAAGGCCGAAGCAATATACCGCCAAATCGCATCATCTCCAAACGTGCCAGATAGTGTGCGAACTGTGCTTGGTCTCCCAAAGCAGGAGAAACCTAAGGCAGCGCAGCCACACCAGACCACGAAAAAGGTTAAGTGACCTTGTCATTGCAGTCATCCTCAGCCACTAACCAGATATGAAATCCCCCTGATGTTACTCCAGCTGCTCAATGACACTGATTTTATATTTTAGTGTTCAGATGTGCAAGGGAAAGCATGTTGAGCAATTTTGTCTGTAATGATTATAAGAGTATTGAGAAGATGCTTGGAAGGCATGCTTTGAAGTAGATTATATACATTTTATGGTTACTTACTGTGGAGTCTGGCAAGCATAATTCAAGCCTTTCTTGAGTTTTATAGCTTGTGCATTGCTGGTGCTTGATCCATTAGTTGACCAGTTAGTGAATGGGTGACTAAACCTTTTTATTATCCTTTGTGCTCTGCTGGTCCTGCCTGCTGAGCTTTTAGAGGAAAAAGATGTCTGATTCTATCTGTGATTAGTAAGGCTACTGTGTTATAAATTAATCTTATTTTTAGGTATTATAGTTTATTGATATGTGCAGTTGTTGCATACTGTAGTGGATTTTTATTTTACATACATTTGCGTAAGGGATTGCTGTTAGGTGTTCCTTTCATCTACCTTATAAGCAACAGGCCACAAAAACCTTTTCCCACAATTTCAGTGTGCTCCAACTAAAGAAAAAATTTCATGTCTGAATTGCAAGGTCTTCACAGTCAGGAACTCTTGCAAAGCATCATGCCCGTCTCTAGGACAATTTTACGGGCTCTTGGTAATTAGTCAGCCATATGAGAGAGAGAGAGAGAGAGAGAGAGAGAGAG